GCGCACTTGGATTCCGAGCGGAGAGAGCCGCCAAGCCATCATGGCTGACATTGGTGGCCGCAGTGCGACAGCTCCTCTGTCTTGTAGATATGATGTGGTTTAGCTGCGCGTCGTGGCCTGCACGCCGTCCCGGTAGTGCGGCACCGCCCCCTTTGGACTACAAATTAAATCACACGCAGGCCGCGCTCCTCTATCCCAATGGGTCGCCTGGAGCCCGGTGGGCACACTCGATCTGTATGACGCTCCTGCAGGCGGTGGTACACAGTCGTCTCTACAAGGAGCGCCCGCTCCACCTCCAGTCGTATGATGGTCTACTGGTTGTACAAGTGTTGGAGGAGCCAAGCTTCCCCCGCACCGGCCTGAATACTGCGAGATGGCAGTGCCTGGTGAACGGGAAGCCCGTTCTTCATGCATTTTGTCAACAAGTGGACATTCCGGGCGCATTTGTGCGTGGGCATGCCTTTGTCGCGCGACATCAGGACAGTGCGATCATCGTCTTGGCGCGCTCTGTCTTGGCAGGCGAGGCCTGGGTGGCTGTTATCGGCATCCTGGCGGAGCAGGGGCGGGGTCAACAAGCGTGTGCGCAGACAAGGGCTTCGCAACTTGGAGCACATTCTCGGATTGGGAGGCACGGAGAGAAGCACCCGGTCCTCTTCGTACCGATCACCTCTGATACCTCCCTCACAGAGTGCCCCACAGGGTGGGGCAAGGTTTGTGCGCTTTGGCTGCTCACCACGCTGCTCCTGGGCAAACAATCCTTCCAGCGGATCATGATGCCGCCCACCTGCAAGAGCTGGTGTTGGTAGCGGCCCAACTACAGTCAGTGCCTGCCCAGGTCTTCGCGGCACCACTGCCCAGCTGATCGTCCGCCGCATGCAGCAGCCACAGTCGGATTGGCAGCCCCATGAGGTGTTTCAATATTAAGTCCGGCATGTGCACGGCTCCCAATTTGACCATGTGGTGAAACTGCCGCTTCCGCTCTTAGCAGAATTGCTGGACCCTGGCAGGTACTGCAGATGCGAGCTCCTAGGTAGCCGTTCAAAGCGACGAAGGCCACAATCTCGGATTATTCAGCGGGGCATCGAGCATGGAATAAGCCATTTTCACGAAGACAGAAAGGGCCAGCTGGTGCGCTGCCCTGCATGAGCCAGTCTGACAGGCTCAGTGACCAGAAGCTGGCTCTGCCCGCTACCGTGGTTTCCTCGACTTGGCAGCCGGTGAGCCCATAGCAATGGAGAGAGCCACAATCTCGGATTATTCAGCGGGGCATCGAGCATGGAATAAGCCATTTTCACGAAGACAGAAAGGGGCCAGCTGGTGCGCTACCCTGCATGAGCCAGTCTGACAGGCTCAGTGACCAGAAGCTGGCTCTGCCCGCTTACCGTGGTTTCCTCGACTTGGCAGCCGGTGAGCCCATAGCAATGGAGAGAGCATACCAGCTGAATCGTCGGTGGAAGTAGGAATGTTGTACGCCGACGCCCTGTGCAAAGATGCGCACTCGTAGATGCGCGTTGCCCCCGGCGACACCCATCACGTTGTTCGGCTTTTCACGGAGCTCCCTTGCTTTCAGCAGTTGCATCTGTTTGCTTCTCTGTGTTCGGCGATTCGGCGGGCCGTGCCCTCTTTTCGATGGGGGCCCTCACGGCTGAAGTATTGGCCGACATTCAAGCGGGGCTGCCTCAGATCTGCGGAGCTTCCCGCCGCGGAGGATGGCTGTACACCGGCTGAAAGAATGGCTCTTAAGCACAGTTGAGTTGCACCACCTGGCTGAGCCGGAGGACACTCCCCATCGCCTTTCTGCGCCGGTCGCCCGGGTCCTGCTGCGACATTACTTGGTCAGGGTTGTGGATTTCCTGTATTTTCATCTCTTCAGCAAAGACGTCACCCTGGCGGACTGAGAAGAGGCGCAAGGAGTCTCACCGACACATGGCCGTGCGGGAGACACTTCTCGGGATTATACTCTCACGTTACGGCCAAGACTTGCACCAGATTCGGTGCGTATGTCCTAAATCACGGCATCACCAGGCAGGGACGCGGCCAGACAATACCCGCTGGAGCGCTGGAGGCGTCGGTGATCGTTTTTCGAGGTGGGTGGCACGCCGGTTCACAAGCTGATTGGGGTATTCACAGAAATCCGTCCGGCACAAGAAAAATGAGCCGGCTTACGACAAACATCTACAACGTGCGGCAGGTCTCCGCCTACTCTGTAGTAGTCTGCTCCAGTCACGCTCTCCTAACTCGACGCGTCTTGGACTTGTGGACGTTCGAGTCTGTCCCACACAGAACGCCACTAGGGCCATCGTGCAGAAACACTCCTTTCACAGTAGAAGTGCACAAGTCCTTCTCTTTTTGGCGTGCAGAATTGTGGTTGCTGAAAGCCTGTGTGACAAAGAAACATCCAAGGTAGCAGGTCTCCCAAAAAACGAGTTTGAGCCATGGCAAGAGTTTTGTTTCGTGCGGGGCATCCGCACGCCTGGAATCATCTGGAAAAGATCGTCCATGCCCGTCAAAGCGTCCCTCAAGACCACGCAGACAGTGCGAAAGTGACAAAGACCGGGTCGATGTCACTGCCGCGCAGGAATCAGAAAACGGACATCTATGGTTGCTCCGATTCTCTCAAGGCCTTACAGGTTTCATAGCTCTCCCACAGATCTCGTCTCAGCGAGGAAAGGGAAGTCACATTCGTGGCGTTCACAGCGCCCCATTGGGCAGCGATGGGAGGAAGCTGCCAACCTACGAGGGTATGCGTTCTGTGAGCTGATTGGACGCCTGCTCGTGGATCCGGACGGACTTCTATTGGCCCACATCCATGCTATTCTGGTGGCGAAAGGCACAACCGTAGCTCCCTCAACATTTTAGGATGCCCTGGAGCTCCCTTCTACTTGCACTGCTCTGCATTCGTTTGTTCCCAGTTTTCCGCCTTCTGAAGCATTCCCCTTTGCAAGCACTTGTTTTGCAAGTGGTAAGAACACTTTTTCCGGTGAGTTTTCAAGCTGGAACGGCAAAAGCAAGGGCAAAGAGCCGGCCGGGGCTTCCTGCAAGGTCACCGTTGGAGGAGATGCTACTCCGGGGATGACGCTGCCCCACCACTCTCCCTGGAGCCTCTTGGTCACGCAAGACTTCGAGGCGCAGCAGTTGAACCGTCGGTGGTCCGAGGTTTTGACGGCGCTTACGAATTGCCGCACCCTAGTTATTGACGAGAGACAGCAGAAGGGACATTCCGAATTTGTCAATGTCATCGAAGCGGCAGATGAAGTGTTGCTCATACGTGCAAGCGACTCCAAACAATCCACGGGCGCGGAGGTGGCAACGAAACGCAGTTTGTCACGATTGACCAGCTCCAACGGAAAAAAGTGCATCTGCGGAGTGGCACACTCCTATCGTTGCTTGGCGGACGCAGTCCAAGAAAAAAGCTACAGAGCGATGGAGCACAGTCCAATAGATTGAATGGATCTCGATGGCTTTTCCTCCAACTCAAGGCTTCTTGGTGAAAGATGGACGGTGCTTGTGACGTGTTGATCGACGGCATGATCTACCGCGTTCCGTATGCAGCCTTGCTGCGAGTAAAGGGTCTGCCCTGCATAGCAAACCATGGAACGGAGGAAACGGACATTGCCGTGGCTGCAGCTCCAGTAGAGGCGACGGGTCCAAGTGGAATCCTCACCGAAATGTCCAATTTAGCAGCTACCGGTGCGGTGGGCGGTGACGCCTTGGACCCGGGCGATCTCGCCATGACTCAAGAGGCGGACTCTCCTCGGGCTTGGAATAAGAGTCGCTCCGGGACTCTTAAAATTAGGAGTGGGTCCGATAAAAGCGCAAGCGGGCCTAGAGGTGTAGTGGACCAGGCATCTGGACGGGAAACCTTTCACATGACCATAGCGCGACTCAAGTTCGCTCGAAACATCTACCACGCGGAAGACTTGGACTGTCCTAATAAGATTACTGGTGCCTTAAATTAAGCACGGCCTTTGGGAGGTTTGTGTACAACTTTCGCCCAAAATTGACGGTCTTGGCAGCGTGGCTGCACTTTACGATAAAGGGAAGTATTGTCCATTCATACTAGTCACACTAGTCCTGAGGAGCGATGCTAGCTGGATTCGGTAAATAGTAGAAGCTATGTTGTATTTGTTCATGGGAAGGAGCAGCGTTCGAGTAAATCAATGCGCTCCGCAGATGTCCAAGTGTTGCAGCAGTAGTGGCGCCCTCTGATGAAGAGGATGTCAAGAATGCCGTCTTCACTCTTGTGCACCTGCGGGGAGTCAGCCATATCATCCAGATCGCCAGTTGCTTGGACTGCTGAATGATCTTCTTCTGCTGCGCAGAATTCCTCGCAGCGCGCCCTCGTCCCATTCATCCCACCAGCAGTGCTTGCGGTCCGTGTTGACCCCCAAGTCCTTCCGGATGTGCTCTTTGGCTCCCACAGGGGATCCATGTCAATGCTCGGACTCATGATGCACGCGCTCGAAGCAGCCTCCGTACTGCTCAAGGATCATCGAAACGAGGAGAACGGTCTTCCCGGATGCGGACGGCGCGCATAAAATGCCATTGGAGGGCGTGCTGCAGATCGCCGTGTCTCGCAGCTGCTTGACCTTGAGGGCTTGCTCTCGCTGCAAGGGGAGTGAGCACTGGTAGGTGTGGCAGGCCACCCCTAGGATCTTCCTACAAGGCTCCAGGTGCTAACTCGGTGCTTCTAGTGAGTGGGGTAGGGCGCTGCATGGACTACGAGAACAGTGCGTCTTCAGATTCTTTGATAAGTACCTCAGCAAGCTCCCACTTTAGCGCTTTGAGTTTTGATTGCGTATTTGCTTCGGGGCCCCGTCTGCAAAGTTCGGGTGACTGTTGCACTGTGGAACTTTCTTGGATCCTGCGGCCAGAACTGCTTTACTGACCTCGAGTGCTGCCACACGCAGAGAGTTCTTGGAAGAAATTCTCTTCGTGGCAATTCGGGCTGGTCTGCGGCCCCTGCCGTGACAAAGGGTCCTCTGCGTCGTGTCATTGCTATGGGAGCGAACAAGCACGACTTCGCGGAGGAGGTTCGTGCGGCCTGGAATTCCTTGCGCCCTCAAGAGCCCGAAGACCCCTTGAGTGCTTTGCTGCCATCCTGTGACTTATTCAAAAATTTCAATGCTGCAGCCCTCTGCAGACCCGCTGCTGCAGATCGCCCTGTGGATGTGGAACTCCGTAAGATCCTGCAGCCGACCATTGCTGGTAGGAGGCTGTATCTGCAGTGTGTGCAAAACATCGAAGTTCTGTCTTGGAAGGAAACTTTGGATTGTCAGACACAGAAAGCTATAAAGAGGTGGTATAATTTGGTCTTGCTTTGGAAGTCGGAGCTTCTGGTAGTGAAGCAAGTCTCCAGCGCCACTGTGGTGGAAGGCATGGACATCCTGGTTGATTACTTGAGACCAAAGGCCCCTAGTACTTTGAACAAGAGGGCTTCATCTCTTTTCTTGCTTGACAAGTTGCTCTCGGAGGAAGGGCTTCTTTTCCCTCCTGGCGAGCAACATCTGTATGACGCTTTGTGCAAGCTACGTGCCAAAGGTAAGGCCCAGTCCGGACGGAAGGGCATCCTTGAAGCTTTGAACTTTTGCTACTTCGTCTTGAACATTGAAGAGTGCGAGGAGCTGGTTTTTAGCAGGAGGTGCCAAGGAGTGTGTTATGTCGAGCCGCGAGCACGGGTCAATCAAGCTTCGCCTTTCTCCCTCGAGGAAGTTTTGGAGTTGCATGAGATAGTACACCAGGCTCCTGACGACTGGGATGCAGCTTTTGCTGGAGCAGTGCTGACCGCCATCTACTTGAGGTCTAGATGGGCTGATTTGCAGTGCTGCGAGGATTTGCAATTGGATCGGGATACTTTAGGTCGTTTGTGTTACATCGATCTGATCACCGGCCATCACAAATCAATGCAGTCGAGACAGCATCGACACCAGTTCTTGACGATGACCGGCCCGTGCGTTGGGGTTACATCAACCCAGTGGGTTGAACGTTGGATTAGCCGGTGCGAGTTTTTGGGTTTCAAGCCTTGCACAAGTGGTTGGCCCGCTATGCCAGCACCAGACGTTACAGGACGTCCAACAGTGCGACCGCTTTCGTCAGGTGAGATGTCAGCTTGGATCAGGAAGCTCCTTCCGGGTGCGGCGGAGGCCAACAGAAAGCTGTCCAGTCACTGCAAAATGCACGCTCCTCTCTTGGATGGCAAAATTTGGAGCAGCTCAAGATGTCAGGGCGTGTTTGGGATATCATATAGGGACCAGCAAGACTGTTTTCCGCTACAGCCGAGACGCAGCCGCAGGTCCGCTTTTTGAGCTAAGCCGGATGCTACAGTGGGTGAGGGATGGACGCTTTCATCCAGACAACACTCGTTCGGGAAGATTTACCTCTTCAGAAGAGCTTGAGCAGGCTTGGTGGGACCAAGTGAGGGATGTCTCCGCCCCGAGTGAGGGGCAGAAGCACGACCTGGAAATCGTGCAACCTGGAGGTGTGCAGCCTGAGGCGGTTGACTTTCAGGGTTTCGGCGGAGAGGTGAACTTCGAAGATGGTGACCCCGAGGAGCGGCTTTCTGTGTCGGGGGGCGTGGGCGAGTCCTTGGCAGGCTTGGGCGACGATGAGCCCCGAGTTGCCGACGATGACGACCCGGACTCTTCGGCAGAAGGGGCCTCCAGTTCATCGGAGAGCGACGGAAGTGGGGCGGGCCCCAGACCGCCGCGTTTGTTGCATCCTCCTTCAGCACCTGAGGGGACCAGCTTCATCAGGCATGCAAAGTCCAGGATCTGTCACTTAAAGAAGGACGGATATGTTCGGCGACTTATGTGTGGAAGGCCGATCTCGCAAGCATACGTCGCCCTTGGCCTAATGAGGTATGATACGGGAGTGTGTAGCCTGTGTATGAGGTCGGCAGCTGCTGGCAACTGAGAAAATCGGTTCTCCAGTGAGTGAGCTGTGCTGCTTCGTTTGAGCTGAGGGCGCTGAGTGGATTCACTGTGTGAGCTGTCTTGAGCGCCTTGCGGTTCAATATGAAGCTTGTTGCGATCTCTCTTTGGTAGGACACTCGAGAGTTGAATTGTCAGGTGAGCGCACTTCAATTTCGTGTCGGTATCTATTTCGATTTCTCTGCGCAATGGCTTTGATTGACAGTGAGGCTTCGCTCAAACAGAGGTGTCTGCCCATCGAGGGGGACGACTCGCTTTTCGAGTCTCTGAAGGCCAATGGAGTGAAGACGCTGCGTCAGCTAGCATTTGCACTTGGGAGCCCTCAAACGCCCCCGTCGGATGATGCTCTGAAGGACCTTGCGGCTAAGGTATACAAATGTGCCGAGGGCACTCAGCCGACGATCGGACAGATTGCGAATGTTCGCATGCTCATCTTTGAAGCCTCTACACTGGTAGTGGCACAGTTGCGAGCCGAGGCGACAGCGGATGATTCCGATCTTGCTGGTCGTAAGTTGCCGCATGTTGAAAAGCAAGCACCTCTGACTTCGCAAAAGTCCCGACTGCCCGGGCTTCTGATAGAGGGAGAGCTGCAGCCCAGCTACGCGCTGGTGGATGCTTGTGCCCTCATGGCCGAGTCCAACAGCATCACTTGGATCACCCGCTCGCGTTGCACAAAGCGTGATGCTGAGGTGCAACAGCTAGGGAAGGAGAAAACCTCGTTGGTCCAGATTGAAGCAGGCACCCTGAAGGTCAGTGCAAGCAACAAGTTGCCTGATGCTGATACAACCACCGCCTTGCAACTTCTTTACTGTTTCCAGAGACGAGGGTTGGCATTGGATCAGTGCAGCCTCATCGGCTGGCCGGACCATGAGTGGTACGTGCAGAGCCTTATGTCCTATCTTCATGGAGAGCCAGTGTCCGGAGCCAGCCCCGCGATTGCTCAGGTCATCAGGGCAGACCGGGAAGCTTGGACATTGATGAGCCGTGAGATTGAGGGACCGGTTGGGGTGAAGGATGCGGCTGGCGAGCTGGTGATGGCAGCTGCTTTTGAGGCGGTTGGCCAAAGACCCTCGCGTAGTCGTTCATCTTGTCACGGCGCCGCAACCTCAGAAAGTCGCCCCACCGCCTTCCATCCCTACCGATGCAGCTGCTGCCGCAGCACTGGCTGAGAAGGCTATCAAGAAGAAGAAACGCAAGCGTCTTACGAGCCTTGTGCCGGAGTCTTTGAAGGGATGTGTCACAAAGATCAAAGCCGGGCCTATCTGTTGCTCCTTCAACCTCGCTGAGGGATGTTCTCTTGAAACCAAGAAGGATGCTCACGGAACTAGGTGTGCAAAGGGATATCATGTTTGTGCCGGATGCCACAAGGCTGGCCACAGCTTCCCAAATTGCCGAAAGGGAGGCTCGTGACGGGTAGAGGCGACTCCCGCTGCCTCGACTTCGCGAGCCTCGAGTGATGTGGAGTCTCTCGCCGCGTCAATTTTGCAAATGTCCGGTCCTTGCGACCAATCTTCGCTGTTGCAGCTGATTGAGCTGCTACCCATGCAGGACCCTCCACGGGGGAACGTTGGACGCTCCTTCGGTGCTGGGGCGTATGCACAAGGGGGCCTTTACGGCCTTCACTCCAATACTAAACTTTTTCCAAACGTGTGTGCTGTCTTCGCGGCACACCTCCGGAGGTTTGCTCCGGGCGAGTTCTTTACAAGCTTTATTATTCTAGATGACTGTTCTTCCGAGGTGCATCGCGATTCCAACAACGACGACTCCTGCCGCAACATCCTGCTGAAGTTGTCCGAATTCCAAGGAGGAGCCGTTTGGGTAGAAGGTGATGGTGACATCGAGGTGGCTGATTCTAAAGGACGCGTCTTGAAAGGTCATGCGATTCCCTGGGAGGATAACAAAATCACTTTGGATGCCAGGAACTTGTTTCATGCTACGCTCCCCTGGACGGGGCGGCGTCTGGTGCTGGTCGGATACACTGTCAGGGACTTCCAAAAAGTGTCAAGCGACGATCGGCAGAGGTTGCTTGATCTCGGCTTCCAGTGCGCATCACAAACCGTGCCTCTCCCTGATAAGGCCTTTGGGTTTAGTTCCCCCCCTTCGGATGATTCTACTGCTGCACCGTCCGGTGCTATGACCAGCTCTACTGCCGAGGAGCCAGCCAAGCTGCCTGAGATAGGGTTTAGCCTTAGCCCCACTCACTAGGCCCGTGGCTCCGCATGTGTGGACGCCGATCAAGCGTGATCTCTTGCAGGATAGGTCCAGAAGCCCGGTGCCCGCCGATGCTCCGGTGAACCTGGGCCATGTCGGAGAATACCTTTTCCTTGAGGTGAATGGTCGCACTGCTGATCTGCGTCGTGCTGCTCGAATTGCAGGCATGCGACATATATTGTGCAGTGCTCCCCCAGCTTTCGTGCGTGGGGTCAGATGCCTCCCACTTGACTTAGGACTTAGGCAACGACTTGGAAAGCTTCCAAAAACTTGTCGAAGCCGAGCAAAAGAGACTCGCTGTTGTCTGGTGCGAGCTGCCATCTCAACAGTGTTCCTCTTGGGCTGCAAATCTTTGCACATTGGGTGAACTTGCCGCGAGCCTTGAAATTCCCTTTGTTATTGCGGGTTCTCCGAAGTCTCAGTTCTGGGATGATCCTTTCATCCTTCAGCTGATTCAAAGTCTCCCTTTGCAACTGCATCGATGTGATCTGTGTTGTCATGGTGATGGCCGCCCTCGGCCTTATCAAATGGCCACAGCGCAGGGGGATTGGTCAGCCCTGGCCCTCAAGTGCTCGGGCCTGCATTCCCATGCACCGTGGATGCCTCGAAAGACTGGTGACCCGCCTCCAGGTTTGCCAAGTCTCTTCTGTCAACGGGTCATCGCCAAAGTCAAGGCTTCACTTCTCCAGTCCGGAGTTCGTGAATTCGCCACGGTCTCTCAAACCCGCGAGTCCGATTCCACCTTCGATGGTAGACTAGCTTTGAACGCCTTTCCGCGCGGCCGGCGCAACCCACCTTCGGTGCAAGAATTTGTATCTTTCAAGTTTGTGGCTGTGCCTGCTGACCCGCCGTCAACCGATGCATCTTTACTCGCTGGACTGCCTAAAGGGTCTCGGGTCTTGTCTCGCCTGACCTTTGATAGGGGTTATGAAGAGGCTTGTAAGACCCTGAGCATATCCTCTAGTGAAGTTACATTGGCGGATGGCAAATCAGAACTACTTGAGGGTGAGTTGGTTAGAATTGGGCTTCCTTCTCAGCCCGAGGCATTCGTGCAAAGAGCAGTGCAGGCCGGCCACCCTAGGGACGGAAGTGCACATGTGTCAAAGTTGGTCATACAATCAATCAAAGCAAACTTTAGCGACCCGCCAGCGCAAGCCGTAACCTCTAGACTCTAGAGTTGCTGCGCTTAAGCATTGGACTGCCAGAGCCAAACAGTTAGAGCAGGAAGAAGAGGAGTTACACCGGCGTTTGCCGGAGCACCTGCGTTCGCTACTGGAGGGCAAGCGGCTACTCTTGTGGCAGGAAATGCACAAAGCGGCTGGATCTCCGGACGACCAGCTGATCTCCCACATGTGCGAGGGATTTAGGTTATCGGGTTGGTTGTCGCAGGGAGGGCTTTTCCCTCCGAGGGTAGGCTCCGAAGGTTAGGCCCCCTTCTTTTTCGGTTTCTACCCTAAGATGCTTGGCAAAAGGTCTAAATCAGTCGACGGCTGAGAAAATGCGCGTCCGGCAGGATGAAGACTTGGAGAAGGCAACATGGCAAGAACCTGAAAAGGAACTGCAGAAAGGGTGGATTTTTGCTGACACCAAAAGTTGCATAGAGTTGTGTGCTCTGGCCCGTAGATTTGGAATCAGACAGCTTGACAAGGTGCGCGTAATAGATGATGCCAGCATCTGCGGTATCAACGCAACTGTGGGCTTGAAGTATGGTTTCCAAATGCACTCGATTGATATTTCCAAGGCGCTACGCATCAATGATGGCAAGTTGCCTGCGTGCAAAGGTCGCGTATACGACCTTAAAAGTGCATACAAACAGTTCGGAATCCATCCTGCAGACCGGGAGCTTTTTCGATTTGCAGTGAACAAACCAGGCGAGGAGGAGCCCATGATCATGGGTGCGAACTCCTTACCGTTCGGTGCAGTGGGCAGTGTTGCAGCCTTCCTCCGCATCTCGTTGAGCATATGGCTGATAGGCATGAGGCTGTTCAGTATCTTCTGGACCGCCTTTTTCGACGACTTTGGAGTCACGACTCGAGATGAGCTTGTTGGCAACACCGACTCCTGCATATGTGCCATTTTTGATCTCCTCGGAATTGACTTTGCTCGAGAAGGCAAGAAAGCACCACCGTTCTCTCGAGACTTTAAGCTGCTGGGAGTCAAAGTGGATTTGAATGATGCTCCTCGGGGAATTGTGAGGATCGGGAACACTGCCGAGCGCCGAGAAGAGCTGAGTGTGTTCATCGAAAGCATCTTGAACGCCAATTGTCTCGACCTCAAAACCGCTGAAAGGCTCAGAGGCAGGTTGGTGTTTTTCGAGGGGTTTGTTTTCGGACGAATGTCGAATTCGTCCATCCGAACAGTGGACCGTGCAGCCAGGGCGGGGCTGACTACCAAGAGTTTGCCTGAAGATGTGAGGAAGAGTCTTGTTGTCATTCGCGAGAGGCTGAGAGTGGCCGAGCCTGTGACCATTGCTACAAAAAACCATCAGTCTTGGCTTATCTTCACAGATGGAGCCTGCGAAGGCGGGAAGAAGTTGGGATCCATTGGAGGAGTGATCGTGGGCCCTAATGGCCGTCCGATATCCTTCTTCAGTGAACAAGTCCCCCAGGACATCATGAGGATCTTGCTGCGAGACTCGCAAAATCCCATTTTCGAGCTTGAACTTCTGCCCGTCCTACTTGCGTATAGGCTCTGGGGCCAGTGGTGCAGATTTTCTCAAGCTGTTTTTTATGTGGGCAACGAAGGTGCTCGCCATTCGATAATAGCCGCGGGCGGAGGCGCTGCACTCGCTCGTGTGATTATCGATGGCATTCTC